GGCGGCGGTGAAGGTCAATTTTGCTGCGGCGCCAACCGTACCAAACTTAAAAAGGGCGCCGCATAAAAATGGACCTTCCCCTCGGCACACAGGAAGATCTTTTAAAGGCTCCGCAGATCTTTTTATTCGTTTTTTGGAACTTTGAACACATTTGCAAGCTTGTCGACGTCTCCGGAACCTTTTTTGGGGATTCGGTAGAGTACCTATTTTTTTTCCAGTGTACTCAATTCTACAGGAATAATTACGCACAAATAGTAATAAGTTGTTGAAACGTTTGGTATAATCTAGACAATTTTGACTTTAAAACGAAATATCACCTGTAGTTACCTTAACTATTAAGTAAAAATACAATTTTTTCTTCTAACAACCTTCATTAAAAACCTGTTTTTCACTTATTCTGGTAAAATCAATGATTTTTTTTTGATTTATTTCTCCGAAACCATTAATTTTCATAAAAGATTCGATAATTCCTATCTGCTTTTTTCGTAATATATTCTCATACTAATTAAAGTTTAGCTGTACGTTACTCTGTTCCGTTAATTAAAATAAATTACGAAGGATACGATTATTATTTTCTATTCAAACATTATGAGCTTACGACCAATTTACGTTCAACCAATTGTCGCGTTCCCGATGAAGTGCGTTATTTTAGTGTCTGTGGATGAACTAATGAATGAAATATATGAGAAAGAAAAACAGGATTTAAATAACTTTCAGTCAGAATATAAAAGCTATTTTCTATTTAGTTAAAAAGATATAAACCATAAAAATTCTCTCTTGACAAAATCTTCTAGATGTTTACATTGCTCTATTTCCTCTTCTTTTAAAGATTGTATTAATGCGAAAAATAAAGGCCAATCGAGTTCAACATTTGCTCTCTTTGAGTTCGGACGATATTCACGATAAAAAAATTCTGCGGTTTCATGAATTTTTTTCTTTCGTGAATTAATATCTTTTTTCAAAACTGCAGAAAAACTCGGCTTTTCTCGAAAAATTTCCGAATAAGAACCTTTTTCATCTTGTCTTGCAGTTCGACCAAGCATTTGTGTATAAATGTTTTCTCTTTTAGGATAATACGTTAAAATTAAATGTAAACCTTTTTCGATACTTTTATCGACTTTTATATCGGCGCCACATCCAATAATTCTTGTTGCTAAAGTAATCGAACCTAATTTACCAATTTTATAAATATTTTCAGCAATATCATTTTCCGTTTTTATCTCAATGATTTCGCGATTTAAGGATGTCTTTATCGCTAAAAGTCTTTCACGTATACAATCATAATCTGGTTTGCCTCCATTATTTGTTTCATATGAATCAGCAAAGATTCAGATTGGTTGTTCTTCACACCTTCGTCTAATTTCGTTATCTATTGCATTTAAAAATTTGTCGGAATCTGTAATTGTTTCACCAGGACAATGAGAAAACGTTCTATTTTTTTTCAATTTTTCTGAACCAGAAAATGGTGGAATATCATAATAAATCCATGGTTTATTAGCGAATACTTTTTGAAATTTACTAATATGTTCTTCTTCTATACTATCAGAAAAGCCAATAACCTTTTGAAATTGTGAATAAAATATCAAAGGATCAAAAAAATAATGAATAAAATGTGCGTTTTTGTTCTCTGGTAAGTTAACTAGAAAAGGTAGAGCCAATTTTGTAGTTTTTCCCAAACTATCCTGAACAGTCCTCTGCTGGCTATTATAACCTTCACTTTTCTCTTTGCACATCTCTCACCATCGATCAAAGATCCTACCAAATTCTGAATTGCATTTCTTAATGAATACTTTAACAAATAATTTTTCGAAATCTTCTTTCCTATTAAAATTTGCATTCGGATCTAATGTTTTGACATCAAAATCATGAACATATTGAAGATGTTCGTCTAAATCCAATATTAAATTATCAAATTCTTCCATAATCAACACAGCATTAGTTATTTCCGGTAACTTAATTGATGATTCGCGATTTTTCAAGGTATTATATCCTTCATTTCTTAAGACACCAAAATATGTTTCTAAATCAGTATGGATCACATTTTTATCACTAAATTCTTTCGTTGAACTTTCTGACGAACAATACATTGTTTTAATACCAAAATGTTCGTAATATTTTTGATAATTCTTATGATCTCGTTTCGCTAAATGATTGTAACAAGTTATGACAAAGACTTTATGCTTTTGATCATATCCATTTGCTACCACAATTCGTCTTGCTGTTTCAGCTGTTATTAATGATTTACCTTGACAACCGATTTTGATAAATAAATTAGTATTAGTTTTTTATTTCTAAAGCACCGACTTGATTATGTTGAAGATAATTGATTTCAATTGAATGAAATGTACTTTTGTTCGTAGCATAATCCTTCTCGATTTTCTCTCTATTATCTTCAATAACTTTGTACTTTTCATTGGAATTTAATTTTTGATATAATGTATCTAAATGTGTCCAATCATACTTATGATAACAATATAAGAAATAGATTTTATCACTTAATTTATTTGTATTTTCTCTCCAGTCTTTTAAACTAACACCATTTTTTCGTGTCATAAAATGATCAAATAACTTTAAAATTTCTTTTTCAGATCTTGTCGATCTAACAATGTGATTTATTTGATTTAAATCATAGTGAATAAAGTTATCAATAATTAATCCCGCATATTTAGTTCTATCATAAAGACTTTCTTTATTTGTTATACTAAAGCCGTTTAAAGAATGTTTAATTGATCGATCTTGAAGTTTTTTATTTCATTGATCTTGATTATCATGACCTGTCTGATAAAATTGAATTAATCGTTTAACTCATTTATATAATTCACTAAATTTTCGAAAAGTATTATCTTTATTTTTTAAAAATAATTCTTTATCATCATCACCTGAACAATTAAATACTTTAAATAAAATTGACATAAGAATTTCATTCGCTTCTTCGGAATAATCTTTATTTTCATTATCATTTCGTTTATCAGCTAATATTACTGATAAATAATATGGAATATTGAAACTAGGAGTTAATTCACTATCAATATTAAATTCTATTTCAAGTTTCGGCAAATAATTAACGAATGATTTAAAATTTGAATTATAATCACATATTTTTAATAAAATTTTCTCTTTATCATCAGGAATATCTTTTAGTAAATGAATATTATATGTTTGAGCTAATCTTAAAAGAGCTTCACTTCCACAATTTTTACTATCAAGAAACTTTTTTATAACTGTTCCTTTGACGTAAATTTTATTATTATTGTTTAAATCAGTTAGAATTGATATAGCACATTCCAAACGAACCCAGGCAAAAGAGAAAATCGATAAGCTAGCTCAACCTAGGTAAAGCGGTACATTTAGCTAGCTCCAGCTAGGTAGTAGCTAGCTTATCGATTTTTTTCTTTTGCTTGGGAAATTTCAATGATTGAATATGAATCAGAATTTTTAAGATTTCAACAAGATCATCGATATTTGTATCATTACCAGCATCTTCAACTTTTCTAAAAATTGTTTTCAATTTGAAAAATTGACTTCGATGAATGTCTTTTGTATAATTTAATGTATCATTACTAATATTTCATTACTATCTAACGTTAGCAAAATGTTTGAGAAACTTGTTTATAGCCAGCGGGACATGTTGGGGGGGGGGGGGGGGGGAAATTAAGTGTCGGGGGGGTGGTTTTTATAGGGGAACGTTGGGCTCCCCAATATTG